AAGCACGTTCTCGCTCTTCAATATAGAATATTCGTTTCTTGCCACCTATTTATCTTCAATTTCTCGATTCATAGCCACCATTTTGCCATTTTGTTCGATATTTTGCGGACCTACCATCCTGGTCAAAGCCCCTAAGCCTCGCGAATGAGTAGTGGCGGGTAGCTGAAGAGCAGCGGCGTCGTCTAGTGTTTCAACGTGGACAAGTAAAAGGGGTTAGGCTAAGTGGCAAATAAAGGGTAGTGACGAGGTTCGAGTGGTATCTCGTTTTTCTTGGCGCCCCCTAGCTCGTCAACGTGGAGGGCCCTTTATATAAGTTTTCGGAAATGGAGGGCTCCCCTCCAAGAAGGCGATACCTCGCGCCTAACCGTCGAAACGTTTTTACGAGAAGTGGTTTGTGCGGGGGGTTGTCGACGAAATAAAAAGAGACCTCGAACTCGTGGCGGTTGCACGCCGGAAATTTGGACTCCCATTCGATTTCCGTCACGCTCACGGCAAACCTGGCTCGTTATCCACGCGTTTTTATCTAACGCTCGGCGAGCCTCGTTTGATTTATTGCTGGAACCAGAGGGTGCCGAGCTTTGGGGGGAGGGCGATGGATGGTGGTAATTTTCGACTCGACGAGCTTCCTGGCGACTGGATCTTCCTTTTCAATCTTGCAACACTGAGTTTAGCTTCTTGTTTCCTGGTACGGTTGCGCTTCGTCTGCATACTGGGGCCAGATAAGGTGGCTTAACGGCCCGGCAATTAAGTAGCAATCTGGTCTTAATGTTTGTATAATAGTGGCTTCGTTGAATTTAATTAGGCTGCGCTGTAACCACTGTCGATGCTCTCTGGTTGGATTGAGCCACAAGTATATGTCTACAAGTCTGATACGATTTCCGAATAACAGAATATCAGAAATTAAGAGAAGTAGAAGTTTGGGATTGGAAGATTATGTTTACTCTTTGTAGAAAGTATTGATGAATTTTTGAGACAAGCTACTCTTCGAAAGTCTGGGATATTTTAGAGGTAGAAGGATACTACACATTTCAATTAAATCTCTTTACTAGCCTTCTTCGATTAGCCTTCTTCTTCTTCCATTAAACCTAGGATAATTTTTGGGATCATTCGGTCTCCTTGACGTTAATTACATAAATTAGCACACTCGAAAACTAATGACTTTTGTAATAAATATTTAAACTCATAATAAGTAGGAAATGCACGAGTATTGCAATCAAACTATCCTAATCATTCTTTCCTTATGCAAAATGATGGCGATTTCAAGATTTCTTCCCCCATTTGGTCGAATTCACGATTCAGGGTTGGAGCTTTTACGAGCTTAGCCAGAGGGAGAAGGCAAGGCGGAGAGTGAGAACGTTAAGACGACACCGTGGTCGCATCAACAGAAACGGATTATTCTTTCGCTGGCTCAACCGTAAAAGACGCTTGACAGGACGAAGTTAGCGTGATATGACGGTGCACATGGACGAGCACGTACCGTCGACGTTTATTCCGCTTTAAGCTTTCATCGCGTTGCTTGGAAGATGGCTCATGAACAGGAATATTCGCGTGATTTTGGAATTGGAACACATCCAAAATACTGAATTTATATTCAGCGTTTGGGAACGAACATCGAACGTGATGTATTGCATTTTGTGGTGATCGAATATTAATTTCCATTTGTATTTTGTATTCATTTTTACTGTTGAATATTAAATTGTATGTCGTTCGATTGAATAAACAAATGAATTTGAAATAATATACATTTTTTTACGAGTATCGTGGAAACATGGATTCTTCAGAAATTATAATGAAGAATTTCAAAAATGTACAAATTTAATTATCTATGGGTAATTGATAAATTTATGACTACATAAATCAAAATGAACCTACGCGTTAATTTAACTATTCATGATCGATTTGTTGAGGCGTGTATTTTTTTTACAACCTTTTGTCGGTTTCTGATCAAATTATTTCATTTACGAATAAATGTTCACACTTCTATATCGAATTATACAGGCAATTGTACAGGCAATTATAAGAGCATCCTACCAAAAGCAGTTGTTCGACTACTTTTTCAAATAAATTTCCCTCATTCCCGCTTATAAACTCTTTTTCCCGTTTCACATTTCCCCGTTGACACGAGCGAAAATAACCGCGTCGTGCGTTTCGCAGCCCGAAAGCCGAACCAGACTTAACGCCGAGGAATTATGAAACCCTGGACTCTTTCAGCGACGAAGAAGAATGCGTCGTGTTCTCTAAATATATCGCGTTAGAGATACCTCTCCCGTGGGACGAAACGAAACGGAATGTAACGCCGTTCGTTTTCGGTGAAGATAAATACGTTGGCGGGTTTAAATAAAACTGGCAGATTCGTTGAAAACGAAAACAGTACGGTAAGTCCTCGACTTACGTTGTTAATTCTTTCCAGCGTGTTCCGCGTCGAATCGCACAAATACGAAGCATTACGGAGAAGCTTTCGAAGCCTGATTAAAACGTCTGAACGAATACTAGTACCACTTCCTGCCAGCGCTAATTTTTCATTCTACTTGTGTACATTTGGAATGCATTCGCGAGAAGAGTTATTGAAAGTTGAACGAAATTGTACGCACTCGTTTCTGAAAATAAAAATTAGAGAAGGAACTTTGATTGTACGAGTACCTACATAGGGAATAGAAAATATAAACGTGCAACTTTGGGGCAGTGGTAGTTTGAACAAAATTAATGACTTGGAAATATCTTTGCCCATTTCACTTTAAATTGATCGTTGTGGAAAGTCTCACATTTCTTTGTTTTACGTAAAAGTATTTAGATAATTTACTGCTTGGCAAAATTCGATTATTTTTTAGGACCACAGAATATTCTTCTCAAGTAAAGGTTACCAACTCCTTATCAGTAAAGAAATCCAAAGGAACCATTTCGAGTACATAACAGTCTCTAACCATGTTTCTCCACTATTCTTTCTATCTTGAAGATAACCCAATTCCCTCAGGACGGTTCATCAAAAAGCGAATCCAATCACGGCGCGAACTCTGCAAAAGAACCGTGTTCTTGTTTTCGCAGGCCGGTGTCGCTTCGAAAACGAGGATCGATGACGATGCAATTACTTATCAAAGCGAGACAGCGAGCATCAGGTTAATAACCAAGTGACGCGGAGAGGAAACGTTTCATCGGACGAGGTAAACACGGAAAACGGCAGGAAGTCAAAGCGGCAAAAAAAAGTTTATTACGTAAATGAAGGTAATGAGAGAAACAGGGCGAGGGCAGGAGGGGAGGAAAGTTTGAAACGAACGAAAGACTTGCGAGGCGTGTTCGCGTCGAAAGGAGCACCTCGCGCAAGATCCAGGAAGTAAAAGGTAACGCGAACTAAGTTGTAATTAACGACTGCTGCTCGATGACGAGCTTCTTTATTTAACTTTCTTAAATGTTTACCGAGAATATTTTAATTCTACGCTAGCATAATTAGGCGTTTTACGCTCGCCCCTTCTTCGGGTGGGTGGGAAAGAATGATCCCGGAAGCGGCTGAGCGTAACTTCGCGAAAGCTCATTTAGCTGACGTTTAATGGCCACGTCGTGCAACTACGAGGACGTAATTCATTAACAGCAGCTTGTTGCGAGTCCATTATGAACTCTCGTAATAAACGCTATGGACTTGAATACCTTTAGACTTTCAGTTAGCTGGAAAAGAAATCGAACAATGTGTTTTCCTTTCGGCTCGAGACCGCGATTCATCTTTTCTTCCAGGTCGGCCGAGAAATTAACAGACCCGGCAGAGAACGCTTTGATGGCTCCGAGAACAGTTTGCCAGTAATTTTTGTGAAAGTTCCATTCTAGAACTCATCGCATAGTGTGTTTCCGAGCGCTTCGTTCAAGACTATTGGCCAATGGTGGTTATAAAATTTGATTAAATTTCACGCACCAATTTTTCTTTCTATCATAAATGTGAGTTTATGTAAATTCTTGTATCATCCATTCAATCAGTTTTTATTTTGTGTCGAGCCTCTTTTTTCATTCTTTGATGTGAACAATCTATAATCTGTTATATTTAGTTCTAATTAAAAATATTTATTCATGGGACACGTTATCACTCTTTACATAAATCAAAAGTAAAAAAGTCAAGAAAATCCTTCTTGTCCCATGCGATGTGAAGGCCTAACTATAATTCATCATCTTTTCATACGGTATACCAAATAACCTTTGCCAACACTATTGGCGTAATAACTAAGTCACGAAGACCGTAGATTTCGACGACCACCTTGTCTGGCATCATCCATCTGCATCCCGAACGTTTCCCAAGGGGTTCCTTCCGTCACTTCCGTGGATCAGAACCCGTCCCAAAGTCCGAAGTTCCTCGACAGGCGTCAGTGGAGCAAACCTAAATGCGAGAACGCCGCTGCAGGCGAAGACGTTCCCGAGGAAGGATGGCGGCCGATCGAGAAATGCAGGTCCGATGATTCGGTGCGATTGGCCCTCGTAAAGCCAGGACTCAGAGCTCCGATCCAATTAACGGCAGTGGTTTGTTGCCTGGCGTACAGTTGATTGAACTGGCCGAGGACATCCGACCACCCCTCCTCCTCCCTCCCTTAGGTCCTCTCTTTACGATATATACTTTTAGTGTACAGGCAGCGAACGCCAGGCAACGTACTTATCCGGCAGACGTCGTAAAGCACTCGAAAAGCAGTGGAGAGCATGCCAGGATGAGGTTCCTCGCAGTTTCCCGCCTCATTCCTCTCGCTTCTTTTTTCACGTTTCTTCGTTCAGCCCATTCTCTTCCCCCCGTTGTCGGGGTTAAACCCCATCTAGCCCAACGAGAACGTTAATTCTGTCTCGACGATAGGATAGCTTCGATTCGACGACGTCGCTGATTGCGTCTTTTCCACGAGACAACCTCTGTACCGCTCGCGAATTCGTTTTTCTTTTTTTTTTTTGTAATTCCTCCTCGTTTCTATTTTTGATCCCACCGAATTCGAGGGGTTCGTTTAATGGCTTCGTTGTTTCTTGATTTTTTTCCTTTTTCTCCGGGAGGGGGTCGTGGTTCTTAGTCTTAATTGAATTCTTAACGACGGAGCTTTCGTGATATCGCGGAGAATCGTTTCCAGAGAACCGTCCAGAAAAGTTTCGTTTCGCCCGTTCCAGCGTTATTGTCGTTAAGGTCCGATACGCGCCGGTTCGTTCGGTTTCCTCGGCGTTGTTTTCTAGTTGGACGGATTCGGTGTCACTGGACACGGATAAGTTTATGCTTGCCGAGGATTTCATCTTCGTTCTCGTCGATGCGGCGAAAAAATTCCGCCGTGGCTCTGAAAGGGGGACGCACGAAGTTCCGCGGCGCCGCCACCGCTCGTCGAAAAAGTTTTCTCTTGGATCCATCTCTAGTTCAACCTTCTGCGTGGATCTACTGTCTGCGATGGTAAGATATAGCTGGAGACGATTTAAGAGACCTTTGAGGGTATAATATCGCGATATTACAAATGAAAATACAATTTATTAGAGAAACGTAGTAATAAATGATACTTCTAACCAGACTTCAACTTTGTTTCGGGACCACGCATTCACGTTTCGATCGACGCCCAACGGGTACTCACGCAGACAAGACTAAAGAATGGCGGATGCCGTAGACGCGACAACGATATTGAAAATATCTGGCTGAATTGGAAATCCATATCCAGTCGGGACGAGCGGGAGACAGGGGATGTTCCGTTGGCGTTCTGGTAGGTATCACCGTGTGTTTTCGCGAGCGACGCTCGATCACGCGAGTGGCCCGATGGGCCGATCCTGGACCGAGGACAGAGGCTATTGGAAATGGATTCCGTCTCTCTTTACCTTCGCTTTACGCCTAATAACCGACTTCTCCATAATGCATAAGGGAAAAATGCTGAAGTTTCCTCCTATTGTCGGCCTGGGGGCAGCGAATACAGGGTGGCACAGCAGCCGTGACACAACTGCCGAGAAGGGGTTCTTCGCGCAGAGACAGATGGAAAATACGGAATTTTCAAAGTTGTGTTTCTCGATCATGGTGGGTGGTCTTTTCTTGACCATGTCTCCAAATCAAACAGCTGGTAGGTCTTGGATATGTGTGGATAAAATTTCTGTGTGGTAACATGTCTGTAAAGCTGCATGAACTTGCTCGTTTATTCTACATAGGAGACAATTAAAAAAAAAAATGTATAAGTTCAGAGCAGTACTAGATCACATTTCAAGACAATACTAATACACAGTCTACTTTATCAAGCATCAGTAATAAAAATAACACTTTATAACAAGCTAGATATCACAATGAAACACCAGTTCCATCATTCAAACATCAATAAGAATATTCACCTTTCAGCAAATCATATCTTGAACATCTTTCTACATACTTCACTGTATTAATTATAGCACTAGTCTAGTCATGATCTTCACGATTATCCTTTAAAACACTGTAAGCATTTCTAAGGCTCCATAGTCCATTCAATTGGCATGTACTTCTATCTAAAAATTGACCGTAAATTTTGCGAATCACCAAGTCGTTTCACGATTGCTGGACCACCCTGTACGTCGATGGCGAACGCTCACGTTCGCGACGTCCCGCGGTTTCCAGCGGACTGCATGAACGCTCTCCCACCGGATTACGCTCTTTCGCGGCAATTTACATGGAAACGTTCGCGCCGATTCGCGGAGGAGTTAAGCACGACACGGCTCTCGAACGGAGATTCTGGGTTTCCCCAGTCGCGGAACGGGCGACGTGTCCGTGTTCGTGTTCGTGTTCGTGTCTCCCATTGCTGCGTTCGTGTCCGTCGGCGCGAGGCACTGAATTTTCACGATTCGACCGTGGGTGTAGGATGCGTCGGGAATGAAATTTCACGATTCAACTGGCACTCGTCGGTCCGCCTCGAAGGAGGAATAGAACGACGCTGGAATGGTCGGACTCTTTCGTTAGTATCGTTTCGGTGAATCCAGGAGGGGGGGGGGGGGAAGGGAAACGCCAAGCTTCGCAGAGCTTCCCTTCCCGCGTAAACGTTATTCCATGGATGGAAATCCCGCACGATTGCCGGCGGGATTTTCTTTACAAGACTCGGAATACTATCGCCGAACGAAGACTGGATACTGCGCGGGATGTGGCGCTTGGAATTACCGTCGTAATTTACGTTGATGTTATTATTTCTCAAGCGGAATGCGTTTGACGAAGAGCTGTGCACGGCAGAGAGGAGGGGAGGGGGCGAGACACAGATTGGGCGAAATCTTCTTAACTCAAGTTCCGCCAGAGATCCCGACGTAATCCTTATTTTCTTAAATGAACACTGCGTTTCGTGATCCGTATCTTACGGTACTTTGTTAGGAGAACAGCTCTGTGAATAATAACATTTTTAGGGAAAGGTTGAATAGTCGATATTCATTGGTATTTGGGAGAATCCTCGATGGGGGTGGACATTTAAGAATATATTGTGAACCCATTACATTCTTTTTCTATTGAAGAATATCAATGAAACTATCTGGTCGAAGTGGTCGTGGACAGAAAATAATCATACTTTAGTTAACATCATTGTATGGTATTTATAATTTGGCATTATCTTCTATAATTTAATAGTGTTAGTACTATTAATATTATAGTGTTATTTGACGTGTCTGCGAGAGAATCCAGCGAATCCATCTTCCCTGGAATCTCCAGATGCTCGCGTGAAGTTCCTACTAGCAGGCTAACGAATAATTAAAATACCTCGATTAGTAGAACAGTCCAAAGAACGTGCCTCGCGCGAATGTAAATTTAATATTTATCTCCGATAGTCGTTCGTTACGCAAGCAAGTCGAGTGTAGCGAGAAGTCATACGTACCTAGAAAACGGCGCTTTAAATGTCTTTAAATTAAACATAGGATGTTCTAATTTGCGAGCCTTTCTTCGCCTACCGGTATCAAGCGCGAATTTTATTCCTCTTCAGGTTCCGTTCCCAGGCGCCTCTGTCTCATTGTTAACTATTCCTATTCGTTTGCTCTTAAAACGGCAGCCTTTCAGGGCGTAATGAAGACCCCTTTTTCCCGCCCTCTTCTTGGCTCTCTTCGCGCTTCGTCGAGGCGCGCCATCGCGCTCGCGCTCGAAACGTTTCTTATTTCATCTTCGCTCTTTATCGGTGCCTTTATCGTTCCTCTCCCTCCAGCGCGGACCAACTCGCTAGTTCTGTTCGCGTACTTTTCATTTTCTCTCCTTCCGAGATCGCTCAACCCCTGTCGTACCCATCGTCAACCCCTTGGCCAACCTCTGCGTTCGGTTTCTCTTTTTCTGTCTCGTTGTCTTCATCGATCTACGCCCATGGCGTCGTTAACCGTGCACCATTGCCGAGGTAGCCGTGATGTATGTAATTGCATCGAACAACAATTAGATAAGCGCTTTATGGCTTATGATAATACGCTTAGCCCACGAGAATCAGGCGACGATTACGGCCTAACGCGTTCCCCGTTGGAGTTATATCGCTGCGCGTTTGCCAAACAGATGCGCAGCGTTAGCATCTTCCGATCACAAGAACGAATTTTATTTTATTGTGCTAGAAAGATATTATTTTTGAGGTCTATAAATATTCCGAAATGAATTAATTGGAAGAGGAGATGGGAATGTTGGTGTCTATTTTATTTTTTGGACTGAAAGAGTTATGATCCAGGGTGAAAAGAAATTATATATTTATTTTTTGTAATTCCGAGTTGCTATAATTAGTGAAAGGATACTTCTCTTTCTTGGATTAAATAATTAATAGTGTAGGTATGTGTATGAAGTAGTCGAACGAGCAGCAGGTAGCGGACGTTGTTTGGTCGACGTTGCATTATATAACGGTGACAAACGGTGAAGGAAGTTCTCCCGCGCAGTCGTAACTCGAAATTCGCGAAGTTGCCAACAACTAGTTGTCGTGAAATTAATCGTTTGTTCGCGGTGGCTGTGCGTTATGAAAGTAGCGACGTCGAACGTTCCCTGGAAATTTACGTTCTTAAGAATCGCCGGGGTTGGCGGTGTAACGAGTCGCGTAACGTTGTCAACAAAGTTCCAACGTCCCCGTTTGTTCGATAATCGTTCCGCTCGACGCTCCATAAACATCGCACAATACGTGTTCGCGGAGCAATAAGTGTAGCTCGACGAGTCAACGTTCTGTAACCCAAATTATATTTCTGAAGCAAATTCTATGATAAAGTTGATAAACAGCAATGGTAGGACGTACATTCAAAGACTGTATATTTTATTATACACTAATTTTCTTGTTAGGTTCAGGATAAGTTGCAAAATAGTTGAGGCAAACAGATTGTTTGTGAGCCTACTATTGTTCGAGGACTACAATTAATACGTATTCATAATGAGATAAAATTACATTTTAAGAAACATTATTTATTAAAAGATACCGCGTTTAATGAGATACACTGTTTACGATTGAACGCGTGTCAATAGTATTTTAATTTAGATTTATTTAAAACAATTCCACGTGGTTGCATAATCTCAGATTGTCAATTCACGTAAACTGCGTCTTCATTATCCTTATGTACCAGGTTCTCTGTTTACACAATCATTATTATTTTTCTTTAAATTAAACTGACCAGTTCTGCCTTGGATTATGTTTGTGAATTTTTATTAATCCTATCGATCATTCTTTAGCTGTGTAATTGACACGTAGTTTGAACGATACAAGACTTGTTTATTTATTCAACGACGAGATCCTTGAATAAATAAATATTGAAATACATTACGAATGACATGACATTGCGAGGTAAAGCGAAAATTAGCACGTGTCAGAAGCACTGCGATACTGGTTGAAATGTAAATCTCCTAGCGGATAGATGTTTTTGCATCATAAACAGATTGCATTCGACTAACACGCAGCGTGATTATGATGTAACAATTTTCGCTTTCGTGCGAATACTAAAATTGACGAAGATGAGCTCAGCAGTCTACATTATTAACCACAACGCGGATTGACGCGTGTGGTAATTGTTCTATTCGTAGCAATACTAACTAATGAGTGTCGTTTGTGAATAATTAACGTTGCGAGTACCCTCTTTTCCTCTGCGATTACCGAACATTTGCCAGTGTCAAAGGTTCGATCCCGAAGTTTTTTGTAAAACTTCTTCGCGGAATAATGTGAAGGGGGGATAAAACAGTCTCAGCTTTCTGAAGTTTTGAAACTTTTAAGAAATTATAAATTCTTGAAAAGCTGCTGCATCTGAGGTTCTTCTTTCTCAACCTGAAACATGGCAAGCATCGTGAGTGCTAACGTTGGTTCCTTATATATATATATTTTTAAACATCAATTTAAATTTGCACATGCATCGGCTATCTATATTATTAAAATGATATTTGGAAGATTTAATAGTTATAAATTTTCTCATAGACATTAATCGATTCGTTTAACGTTGACGTTTTACTGAATTAACAGTCGCTATTTCGTATCGTTTAATGGTTAGTCTGGTGAATTAAGACCCTAAACAATTTTCTTGGTACCTAGGTATCTAGCGAGTCACCGATTGGTGGAATACGTGGAACAACGTTTTGCGTGACACGTGACTACTTTCGCGTGCCAGAATTGACCATTCAGCCACGTAATTAGAGAAAGTGCGCGGTTTGAGCGCCATGCAATTACGTAACTAATTTATTCTGATGGTTGAACGTTAGGACTTCGAAGCTGTAATTTATTTGCCATTTTATGTGCACTAAAATCGTTAAAAAATTTTTTTTTATACACTAACATTATGAATACAGTCGAGCACAGAATATTATTTTCCTGCAACATATTAAGAAATACTATAACATTTAAGAAGACAATAAAAAATTCAGGTTTCGTTTAATTTTAATTCGTTTAACACGATTTGGAAGGTGTCGCTTTAATGGAAAGTTGCATCAGGGCCTTGGTGTCTCCAGCAACGGCTCTTGCTCACAATTTTTCGATTCCTCTTGTCGCAATGCTGGTGTGTGCTTTGAATTGCAGTTATAAAGGCCCCCTTTGCACGGATTCGGCGGTTCATGTTGCAACCAGGTGTTGCAACCTGACGACGCTGTTGCGAGACGCTGTTTCGTCGGCGACAAGCGCGGGTGGTTTCGTCAACAAAATATTGCGCAGCCCTCGAGTGCGCAATCTCGGCACCTGGAACTACGAATTACGCGGAAATGACTTATCACTTGACCCCTGAGATTTGCGTTGGACAAAGACGATTGAGCAGCAGGAGATTGAGAAAGAGACCAAAGAATCACCTGTATGAATAAATTACATATTCCAAACTAATGCTTTATTTTACTAGCTAGTCCATCTACTTTGTTTGCGACATAAATTTCCAGTGTGTATTTTCTATTTTTAATGCTTACCCCTATAGTATAATTGTAGTATGAACTTCTTCCGAAAGTATTGTAAAATTAGTCAGACGTAAATGATGCAACTAACACCATAAAAAGGAATGTTTTGCATACAGACGTATAAAACAATAATTTGAATTTCAGAACACACGAATTAACTATATTACTTGGTGCAGGTCGAATAAAAAGCGCAAGAATGCATATTAATAAAGTTTCATAAAGTTTATAGCTGAATTCAAATGTTCCAACATCTTTCCCTCGAAGCATCGCCGGCTCCGAGTCTCTCTTCCTCTCCGAAACATTTTCCTTTTCAGGTTTCCGCGCGATTTTTCCTTGTCTCGCGCAGCAAGGAACAGGAACGGGCAGCAATCTTGATTCGTTTGCAAATTTTATTGAGACACATTATTTCTGCTTCCGTCCTGGCTCCTTCCCATCCACTTATTCCTTTCTTTCTGCAAAGTTCCTCATACATGCAAAGCGGAGTACGATGCCGAGGTTATGCAAATGGAATGTCCGGTGCTGGGGGAGTGGGATTAGAATCGAGTCGATTTGAAATAGTTTGTTAAAAGATAATTGAAATGAATGCAAATCGGCGGGAATATCTCGAAACCCCTACGATGAGACCAGTTAAAACTATTATTTCCTCTCATTCCTCGCTATACCTAATTAAACCGTTCATTACGAACGCGGTAAAATTACCATTTTGAAAACTAGACTTTCTGCAAGCTTAAAAAGTGTATCAGTTCTGTCTGTAAAAAGGTTTCTTGGTTAATGAATCCGTATTCAATTATTAAAGAGAATAAGAGTGACATTCACCATGAAAATGGTATAAATCAGCAACATTATGTTCGTACGTCTGTAAAACCAAGAAAATGTAAGAACATAAAACATATCTACACACCACGATTATTTTAAAAACCAAGTACGATTACCAAACACCGTTTTCATAATAAACAACTCAATTATAGTCTAACGAGCTTTCAATCGGAATTACCTCGCGATCCGCGCTTTTCGCTAAACTAAACGGTGCAATTACTCAGGTGAGGCCAGCTTTCGTCAAAAACGTTCATATAACACTGACGTCTGTCGAAAATTTCAACGGAGTTTCAACCCACGCATTGCAAGTTACACGAGTTTCCGTCGGCGAATATGTTAATTCCCCGAAATTTCGTATCCACGTTCAATTTGCAAACAGTAACGCTCGCGGGAAAGTCCGCAAAATAATTTACGAAATGTACGCGGGTAATAAATTGCTATATCTCCGCGCCCTACGTTAATTCCGACCCTGCTGAGTTTACTTTTCGGCAATTTTCTCTTGGGCACCATTTCGCTATCTTGGAAAACATTAAACACATTTCCTCTGATGCACACAAAACAGATATCCTTTATTATTCGTTATACATATCATTATTATAAACTTGTAGAAAAGGACTTGAAGTAGTATTAAAAATGTTTTGATAATTTCTGTAGTCAATTTGAAAGTTTATATAAATGTATTATAAAGATGTTGACCATGTACATGATTCTGAAGTTATACAGGGTGGGGCAATAACTATTAGCCCCTCAGATATCTTCGAAACTATAAATTTCATAGAAATATTTGCTGAAATAAAATTGCACAGTACGAAGGGGTTGCACAGTAGAAAGGGGGCATTTGATGTTCTTTGATGCGTGTATTAATAGTCTTTCCAGTTTTACCTACATATTCTACATTCTTCTACAATTTATACAATCAAACAAATCAGAGGGATTGTATACAATGCCTAGAAGAATATTCAGTATTTTCCTTCCGCACATGATAATTGCGTTTAAAAAATAAATGAATAAGTGTTCCCAACAGAAATTCTGCCTGGGAGTCGTGCAATCCCAACGAGCTTCGAGGCTGGTTTTTCCTCGAAGCAGCTCTTTCCCTCGGAAGGAACCACGACAAAATCCACGCGACAAGAACGTACCGCGGCCCCGATAGAAATGCGTTTCTTCGACGGGACCACGTCACTTCCAGTTCGTTCCTTTTCCCAGCCGAGCGCCAGCGTCGTCGACGACGTGAAAATCATCGCTATTTCCTCGTCCCCGATTTTAAGCAGTCCTATCGCGTT